AATGGCACACAGCGGTAACGGATCCAGAGGTAGACCACGCAGAACATGGACCGCAGAAATATCAGACACACTGAAAAGTACTTTACATAAAGCGAACAGAGGGGCCCGTTCCAGAGAACTCTTCCTGCCCTGACGCATTCCAGGAGTAGAGGAAAGAAAGAAAGAAGAAGAAGCAAAAAGGTGTCAGTGGAGAGCTTAATCAACTGGGAAACATATAACAATATAAGTAACGTTAATTCAAACAAAATGACACCTAACAGAAGACGGTGTGGAAAGCGGATCAGAAGTATAGAACATAACGTGTTAGCTACATAATTGTATTTACCATTACGGCACCAGTATTTATAATAATAACACAAATATAAGGCTACCATTTAACAAGTCGTTAGTCCAGATTCCATCTTCATGCAAACGGATCGCCCCATGTCTGCTGCGTTCCTCGGTCAGCAGAAATCACACAAAATGTCTGTCCCTGTACATTTGGAAAAAAAAACAACTAATGTATGAAATATATCAATCTTAGCAAAGTCTTCTAACTCGTACAGTCAAAATGTCAGATGTGCCAATACTAACTGTCTGCCACCACAATTGCAGCCCACAGTGGATGCAAGCAGTCGGTTACAAAACCCAGCATTTGTACACACTATACTGCATAAGTACACACCCTTTCGAACATAATAGGCCATTTAACTAGGTTCCCGTAAACGTTTCTTTACACGACGTAATAAATGTTACTACGGATTGTCTTTTGCAACTGTTATTAATGATTTTACTGACTCCATATTAGATGTTCTGTTTTCGGTTTGTTTTTCTGTAGGTGATAAAGGAGACTTTGCTGATGAATCAGCCATAGCCATGAGCCTAGCCAATCTGGAGACAGCCAGAGGACCACCTGGGCCCAAAGGTAGTTGTCGTGCAAAATAAAATAAACAATTGTTGAGTAACAGCTCATCTGACCTTCAAATCATATTCGCTGAAAACGGGAGGAGAGTCCATTCTCCCCACCCCACCCCTACCCCACCCCCACTTCCAATGTTAACAGTGCAGCGTATTACACACACAAACACACACACGCACACCTAAACAAGGCTTAAACCCCTTTGAGACTATTTCCTAAAACAACCTTTCTTGGTTATGAGCACCCCTCGTCCGTTTTTTTTTTCTGGTGCCGGCGTCCCTGCTACATACGATGATAGACTGTAGTATCAAGCGTAGGCCGATAAACTCACAGATGTGTTTGTTGCGAGAATAGTTGGTTCTGGGACCGTAGACATATATATACCTGCTTGCCAACAGAATCTAAAGCAGGAATGAGGAACGTCCCGTATGTAGACAGTACCTGGTCGGCAAAATCGTTTTTATCTAACCCTACTGAACAGTTGCCAAAATATAGAAGGCTAATTTTGAAGCTGATAATCAAATGTGGCCTACAAATGCTGTCATAAATATCAGAATAATTATTGGCTAGGAAAACGGTTCCCCACTTCTGCTTTGGAGTGTCGCATGAGCATGAAACTAGTCTTCTTCTTCTTCTTCTTCGATCCTTCTGTCAGAAAACTTATATCAGGAGGCCGGTAGCCTTAATGAAAGCTATCGTGCAATCCATAGTAGTGATCAAGAGATTCTAGACAGTTACGTGCAGAATCATAATAAGAAAACTCCACAGGGAAACATGCCCAGCAGGGGTCTACTGGTCTTTAGTAGAAAATCCTTCATCGACAATTGTTTCGGCCCGTTACTTCCTAAACAATTTCAAAAGGTGGGCCAGCCTGGTTCATGAAGCCAGGTTTCAGTTCTCCTCTGCTGCGCTTGATGGAATAACGTACTTAATTATATATAATTATATATAATAATTAAAGATATAATTAGCATACGTCGTTGGTGAAGTTCCAGCGATTAATGCGTTAGGAACAGGCTGTGTTCACCAAAGCTAAATTAGCGGACCATTTATACACATAAACGAAAGCTTATGACATTATACATTCATCATTACTTAACACTAACACCAAGCGAAAGAGAGCAAACCCAAGTTTCTACCTTTTTCCGTCACAGACTGTTTTGCGGCAGAAACTCATTGTAAAAGTTTTCACTGGGAAAGTCAGCTTTGTTTGTTTTGCTTTGACCAAATGTAACCAAGGATACGCGTTACTATTATTTATGGGCATGAGCCCATCATACACTACATCTACTTTAGATCTGACAGAGTTAACTCGAACAAAGTAATAAAGTAATAAGATGCGCCACGCCGATAAATAGAGATTGTGATGTGCTATCTATTCACCTATTGTTGCATCATCATCATCATCGTCATCATCATCATCATCAACAACAATTTGAATTGGCCAAGCTCAACCGCTACCTATGGAGATAACCTCTCCTATATAACATTAATTATAATTTTGGCTCCTGTTCATGCTCTTATTCAGTTGCTAGTGGTTTCCAAATAAGGCCACAGACCTCTACGATGGCTGCCGGTGCGTCGCATGTCTTTTTCTTATACCTGGCTTTCTACAGGAATGCAATGTTGTCAGACCCGAGAATTTTTTTTTTCAGTTGTGTATGTATCGAGCATGTCTGCAGCACACGTTCAACACTTGCTGGTGTCTGTTTACAGCACATATTTAACACTTGCTGGTGTCTGTTTACAGCACATATTTAACACTTGCTGGTGTCTGTTTACAGCACATATTCAACACTTGCTGGTGTCTGTTTACAGCACATATTCAACACTTGCTGGTGTCTGTTTACAGCACATATTTAACACTTGCTGGTGTCTGTTTACAGCACATATTCAACACTTGCTGGTGTCTGTTTACAGCACATGTTCAACACTTGCTGGTGTCTGTTTTACAGCACATATTTAACACTTGCTGGTGTCTGTTTACAGCACATATTCACACTTGCTGGTGTCTGTTTACAGCACATATTCAAACACTTGCTGGTGTCTGTTTACAGCACATATTCAACACTTGCTGGTGTCTGTTTACAGCACATATTCACACTTGCTGGTGTCTGTTTACAGCACATATTTAACACTTGCTGGTGTCTGTTTACAGCACATATTTAATCAACTTGCCTGGTGTCTGTTTACAGCACATATTCAACACTTGCTGGTGTCTGTTTACAGCACATATTCAACACTTGCTGGTGTCTGTTTACAGCACATGTTCAACACTTGCTGGTGTCTGTTTACAGCACATATTCAACACTTGCTAGTGTCTGTTTACAGCACATATTCAACACTTGCTGGTGTCTGTTTACAGCACATATTCAACACTTGCTGGTGTCTGTTTACAGCACATATTCAACACTTGCTGGTGTCTGTTTACAGCACATATTCAACACTTGCTGGTGTCTGTTTACAGCACATATTCAACACTTGCTGGTGTCTGTTTACAGCACATATTCAACACTTGCTGGTGTCTGTCTGCAGCACATGTTCAACACTTGCTGGTGTCTGTTTACAGCACATGTTCAACACTTGCTGGTGTCTGTTTACAGCACATATTTAACACTTGCTGGTGTCTGTTTACAGCACATATTTAACACTTGCTGGTGTCTGTTTACAGCACATGTTCAACACTTGCTGGTGTCTGTTTACAGCACATATTCCTTGCTGGTGTCTGTTTACAGCACTATTCAACACTTGCTGTGTCTGTTTACAGCACATATTCAACACTTGCTGGTGTCTGTTTACAGCACATATTCAACACTTGCCTGGTGTCTGTTTACAGCACATATTCAAACACTTGCTGGTGTCTGTTTACAGCACATGTCAACACTTGCTGGGTCTGTTTACAGCACATATTCAACACTTGCTGGTGTCTGTTTACAGCACATGTTCAACACTTGCTGGTGTCTGTCTGCAGCACACGTTCAACACTTGCTGGTGTCTGTTTACAGCACATATTTAACACTTGCTGGTGTCTGTTTACAGCACATGTTTAACACTTGCTGGTGTCTGTTTACAGCACATATTCAACACTTGCTGGTGTCTGTTTACAGCACATATTTAACACTTGCTGGTGTCTGTTTACAGCACATATTTAACACTTGCTGGTGTCTGTTTACAGCACATATTTTAAAAACACTTGCTGGTGTCTTTTTAGCACATATTCAAACACTTTGCTGGTGTCTGTTTCAGCACATATTTAACACTTGCTGGTGTCTGTTTACAGCACATATTTACACTTGCTGGTGTCTGTTTACAGCACATATTTAACACACTTGCTGGTGCTCTTTACAGCACATATTCAACACTTGCTGGTGTCTGTTTACAGCACATATTTAACACTTGCTGGTGTCTGTTTACAGCACATATTTAACACTTGCTGGTGTCTGTTTACAGCACATATTTAACACTTGCTGGTGTCTGTTTACAGCACATATTCAACACTTGCTGGTGTCTGTTTACAGCACATATTCAACACTTGCTGGTGTCTGTTTACAGCACATGTTCAACACTTGCCGATGTCTATCTGCGTAGGCACAATTCTGGGTTCCCAGTCTTAAATTTCCAGCACATATGGCTTTGGAGTCTCTTGTGTCCAGTTCGCATTCTCAATACAATGGTCTCCTGCTTTGGTACCAGAATGTGTGTCTGTGACTGGGTCTTCATGATTGTATTCTGCGTAACAATAGTTCCAATGGATTCAAAGGGCTGCGATGATCAATATCTTATATCCTCCATCTGTCGCATGTAATTTTTGCTAATGGTCATGTCAGTAATGTTTTGCTGGGGTTTGGTCGGGTGACCTGTTTGACTGAACAGAGATCAAAGTTTCGCTATCCGCATACCATGACAAGAGTCACCGATCAGCTCTGTGTTCTTACCTCACTTATACCATGACTTTTGTCATTGTCACTTATTACTTTTATACGTTTCATATTCATGTGTTCTATACTGTATAGATTGTCTCAGTTTTCACATAGTCTACCCTGATGTTTCTGTGTTATATCGTGCTCCTAAATGACTCTGGTTTTATGATTCCTACTAACAG